TTCATCAGAGCCAACATAAATTACTGCCAAACAGTCTGTAATTGCTGCCCAAAATGTGTGGAAATGAGCCGCTCCGTAATGAAACTCCTCCTGATCACCGCAGCCGCTGGAGATATTGAATCATGCTGATCGTAGTCTGCACTGATGGATGAGAACACGAGGCGTGCGTTTAATCAAACGGCGCTTTAGTGTGCGAGTGTTATTAAATCCCTGTTTGTGCAGATTTTATTCAGATGCTGTTCAGAGGCTGTTTTCACTGCCTTCATAGGCTGCTAACATCTCAACCAAAATAGAAGCTTATTTGTGTATAACCTAGAAAAGATCATTCACCTCAAGCGTGTGATTTTAAGTGCCCTACACTGGCAGCATCTCAGTGTTCTACTTCAATACTGGTTCTGTCAATCAATACTGATGTTTCCATGTTAAGCTAATAGTTCTCAAACACACTACAAATGTGAATGTTAATACATCATAATAGAATCTCTCTCTCTCTCTCTCTCTCTCTCTCTATATATATACAGTATATATTCAATTAACATATAGGAAAATAAACAAATATAATATCAAAATATACATTAAAATATCGTGATAGTTGTATTTATGATATTAATTTTTTTATATTTTTATATATGTTAAAGTATCTTGATAGTTGTATTTTTTCATGAAACAGTGCATATTAACATTAAAATATACAAATAATAATATCATGAAAATATACAACTATCATTAAACATACACACATATATATTCAAATGTCATAATATTTTACATGTTATAAAACATAGAAATAATATCATAAATATACAACTATTAATATATATATAATATACAAATATATTATCATAAATACAACTATCATGATATTTTAGCATGTATATTTTATGATATTATTTTTGTATATTTTTATATATGTTAGATTATCATGATAGTTGTATATTTTTTATATGTACAGTATGTTAATATATCATGTAGTAGTTTATTTTTCATGATATTTTTTATATTATGTTTTTATGTGTTCATTTACAGCAGGGCTGTACAGTGCGACATATATATATATATATATATATTACCACTGTAGCATGCGTGCGATACAGTTTTGCATGTTCATAACACAGCCGCTTAATAGTGTGAAGTGAGTTCGTTGTGCTTGTTTGTGTGTGTGAGGTTGGTTATACTTGGTAGTTAGGGGTGTGTGATATGATGATTTTTGATCGTGGACGATTAAAATGTCTCCACGATCTGCTTTTGAAGAAATATCGTTGTATCGTGCTACAGCGCACATTCTATCAGCTGCAGTTCTGGCGCCTCCTCAGTCTCAATATAATGTACAACGCCACATGCATTCACATCAGTGTTAGCTCAGCGGTAGAGTTACTCTCACGGGACACTGCACTTATGCGCAATCACAAAACTACACTATCTGCTTTAAAGCAATACCGGTTAAACGTTTAATTCATGTGCTGAGCGTGTACTCATGAAGTGTGCTCACACTGAGAGCCTGTCGAAAAGCGCCTGATTATTGGACTAAGTTGTCTTACACGTCTGATTGATTTTGTGTATAATACTGTCAAAATCACACAAGGTTTACATATAAACACAGTTGGTTATGTCTAAAAGGAGAGTAAACAGTTAAGAGAGAAACGCGGGAAGCTCTTAAAGGGACGTAGCTACTAAACATGCTGCCGACTGTCATTAAAGGGATAGTTCACCCAAAAAATTGTATTTCTGTCATTATTTACTCACTCACATTTTGTCCCAAACCTGTATTAATTTCTTTCTTGTGTTGAACACAAAAGAAG